TTAATGTATTTTATTCAATCATTGTATAACAATATATATATTGTATAACATATGAAATATATGAAATATATAACAAAATATATATAATTCTCATTAATACGTCCTTACAATATAATTTATTTACAACGGTATTCGATAATGTCCCCACGGCAAGGTGTCGGTCGAATCAGGTACGACATACCGCTTGTCGTCGTAGGGACTTAGAGCAATTTTCGTCTCGCTGATGGTATACACTTTATGCAATTTCGATCTTATACATGACTGTTGACGCGTCATTTCAATCTCGTCATTAAGACAGCGTGTATAATCGTCGAATGTTATACTACGCGCTACGACGTTACTTTTGACACCTTTTGCCTTTTTAGTGTCCTTTTTACCATCCACCCGCAAAGCATACATTTTTGCTCTAAGCCCGACGAATTCGGTCATTATCGCGCCGTTATTCTCATCTTTCATCAGACCCGGCACCTTTTTATTCGCGAGCGGTATACCGTACGCATTATTCGCGGCGTAATCGCTGGTATCGAATCGAGCGATGTCGCGTTTCAAATTTTCATAGACATCCTGACATTTAATTTGATATATTAAACTATCCGTGTCGGTGTACATTACTCTACAATTGTCACGATAGAGCGGTGACATGTATTCGTGGTGAAATTCATAAAGACATACTTTTGATACGTCGAGTATGCACATGCCGACGTAGATTGGTTTGTAGAATTTAACTTCGAGTTTGCGTAATTCTATGGCAACTAATTTTTCCGAAAATATGCTTGTACTATGAAAATTTGGTTTAGCGATCATTGCCTCCGCACCGTACCGTCCGTCCCATTTTGTTAATAATTTTACATCCATATGATTGCGCACATTTTCCATCGTCTTGCCGAATACCGCGTTATTCATCAATTTATATAAATTTTTTTCAAAATCGTTTTTCGCTCGTGTTCTAAACTGTGTGTTGAGTTCGATGTATTTTTGAAGCCACGCTGACTGCGTGAATTGTAGTATGCGATATATTTTTGTTATGCGTAGCCCGTGGCGCGTGCACTGCTGCAGATTACGATAGTGTATTACGTAGCGCTTCTTATCGTAAAGCGTTGCTAGGAGTTTATACTCCCGCTTGCCGGGCGGCTTATCGCGCGTCGGGCAAAACGGTAGGTCAATGTGCGCGTCATGAAGATGCTGCGGATACTCTAAATCTACTTCGAGAACATAGCCTATAGGTGAATCGAACGCGATAGATGATACGTCAAAATTCGATATATCGTCGACCCACCGAAAATCGGCATATGGCAATGGTTGACACATTGCCCATCCGTACAAATTATTTACATCGAAATACATGAGGTACGATGAGGGTTTCGATGGGTCGTACGATTGCATGTACTTGTTATTAGCCTGTGCGTATCGGCCTGAACATTGACTAAGGCCGCCGCGTATACCTCGTTCGACAAACATAACCATGTCAATGTCTGTTAATAATTCAAATTTTATATTCGTATGTTTTAACATGGCGTCCCATGTATATCCGGGGAGAGTATAATAATACGCGGGATCGAGTCCGTAACTTTTTATACAACTATCGCGAAAATTCTCAAATATATCGGCCAATAACAAGACATCAATTTTTAAATATAAATCGCTATATTCGCCTAGCGTTCGAAGGGAGAATCGGCTCCAGACGGTCTCGGCGTGCGCGTAATCACTCTCGGATACTGTGTCGCCGGTTAAGGAACTGTAAAATGAGTCGCGCGGCGGTAAACGTGTGTCTTGTAATCTGTCCACGCAGTCTATGTATTCGTATGGAAAGACACCCTTTCGTGTCAATAAATTGAATTTTTCACTAGTTAAATTTTGATATTCCGAATGTAAAATTTTTAGTTTATCTTTATCCAAAAATGACGCTAATTTGTCGAGACTAGCACTGAGAAACTTATACGAATCGATAAAGCGTAATTTGATATAATTTTTTGCATTTTTGTCTTGTGTCAATCTAACAGTTTTCGAGAATGATATATATTTTTCCTTTGTTATCGGCAGTAATTCGATTTCCCCTTCGAACGCTGTGGCTATGTCCTCGATAATAAAATGTGCGTCGTAGCCGGACAGATTGTGAAAGACTATAGGGATACAAAATGATTCTTTGTAATTTAAGTTACAATTTGAATGCGCAGGACCCCTGTACCGCCCGGTGAGGTGGCAATGATCGCGGACGCGTGTATCGTCTTCGTCAAACGGTTTTTCACAAATGTGACAATGCGTCGCGGTGCGAAATTTTAACCACTCGTCAGGCGTTAAATTTACCATGGGGACATTGGTCGTTAAAATATTTTTTACGCGGATTGCTAAATTTTTAAGCTGTTCGGCGAACCATGCGACGCAATCGACACTACGGCGGGAATTGTACGCGGACAACGAACTGTCATACGAACACTGTACATAGTACGCGATGCTGAACACTTGATGGTGTTGATAATTTTTGGCATCTTCGGTCTTTGCCAAAACACACTCGAGATCGGCGTACACTACAAACGGCAGCCGCTCCTTCCTCGTGTAGTTGTCGAAGCTGAGCCACTTGTCCTTGTCGCTCGGCAACCGAATAGCACAGTCGTTCAATTTCCCGCAATCTTCCGTATGCGCTTGCAATTTATCCACCGCTCCGAAATAATGTAGGCATCTGTAAAAAATAAAAAATTTAATGAAAATTTAATTAAAATATAATTTACGTGTAATAAATATATATATACTTACCGATCGCATATAAATTTTTTACATTTCTTTTTGCTCAGCTGTGAGCTCACGAGGCGAGACAGATTTTTTATCAAAACAAAATGCCCGACGCTGTTTTCGTCTTCCACGTACAGCAGATTGACGTGCCTGTCCTTCTTTTTTTCCGAAAGACGCAACGGGACGATGTTCTCGTTCTCGATGATGTACACATTCACGGAGATGTCGTTTGCAAGTTCAAACTTTTTAATTTGATTCACAGTCACTGGAAACTCAATGTTTTGGAGATTCAGCACTGTGGTGTAATGCGGATAGGAGGATTCTCGTTCCATATGTCTTTCAGCGGGGTACAGAGCGGCTACTACTGACCATGCGAAACACGCATTGTCCGCTGATAGCACATTAACAACCGCTCTTTTTACCATAATTTTTTGCGGTAATTTGACATGGCATCCAGCGCGCATAGGATTATACTTGTTGATATTTACTGTCAAATCTATTATCCGCGACAATGCCCAGCCGCTATCGCGTTCCTGGAACTCTTCTAGCGATGCTAGCGTGGGCTCGATTACGCGGCGCTCGTACCACTCGCGTACATCGGACGTGCGAAAGAGTTCAAAGTTTCTCGTATTAATACTTTTATTGGCACGCTTGTCACCGGACACAAATTCGCCGTTGAAAACAGTGTTCACTTTTACACTGATGTGTCTCTGCAGCACATTCTCCATGTTCTCGACTACAATGTCTGCTGCATTTTCCAAAAACTGACGCGGTTCGATATAGTCGACGTTAATTACCGCACCGGTAAGTATACGGCTATCGAACGCCGTATCGATCTCGCGCCAAACGAGTCTTTGCGCGTTATTGCCGCCGCCGCTGCCACTAGGTATGGATCCACCACTAAACATGGATTCACCGACATACTGTCTCTGCAAGCGCACCTTCGCACCCTCGAGTCGCGCTATTCTCGCCACGAGAGATTGCCTATGTCCAATCGAGAGACGCGGACGCTTGGCACGGCTGCGTTCTTCCAGCTCTTCGATAAATTCTTCGCACTCTTGCAGCCATCCGAAATATTCGCCCAAGGTGCCGACTTGGCGGGAACGCTCCAACAGGTCGCGCTCAATGTTCTCCATTTTTTTATGTCTGGCACTTTTTCACACTTTTAACCTCAGCCTATTTTCGCTGACATTCGCTGCAATCCCTGATCATCGGTGCTGGACCGTCAATATGCGTTCGCATCCACGGCCGATTGTAATGTTCGAGGCAGCGACGATATGTCTGAACCTCCGGATCCGTCTTGATATGCTCTGGAAGCTTGTCCCACAAATGCTCTACGAAATATCCACACTTTTGTAGTAAAACAATCTTCGGAATATATTGTAACTGTTCGGCACTTAAACTGAGAATGTCGGAAGCACTTGATAGCATGACAAACATCTTGAATGAAGAGAGCGTGCGCTCGCCAGTGGTACTATGGCCCGGCAGCGGCATCGGTCCTCGTTATATATCCCAATCAACCCTTTGTTCGTCAACGTACGAACGAGAAAAATTTAGATGACGTAAATTTTCGGCGCTTGTTTTGTTTATAAATTCCTGCAGCCGCTGGTTATCGGCGCTGGTATTTCTTAGAAATATACGTATAGATCATGTATCAACCCCCTTGATTGTCGGCGTATGCCAAGCGGTGGCCCTTCTTAAAATTTGATTATCTTAGATTTTCAGAGAACTGATTGTCGGCGCTCGGATCCAAGCGGCCCTTCTTAGAATTTAATTATATTTCTTAGAAATATACAGATAACGTATGGGGGAAGAAACGCAACCCCCTTGATTGTCGGCGCATGCCAAGCGGTGGCCCTTCTTAGAATTTGATTATATTTCTTAGAAATATACAGATAACGTATGAGGAGAAGAAACGCAACCCCCCCCCCCCCCGATTGTCGGCAGCCCTTTTGTAATAGATATTGTTTATCTTTTGTTTATAAACATAAACGTATGAAGAGAAGAAACGCCCCCCCCCCCCCGATTGTCGGCAGCCCTTTGTAATAGATATTGTTTATCTTTTGTTTATAAACATAGATAAGCTTATCTGCTGATAAGACCCCCCGCCCGCGTGACGTCATACCCCCTCGCCCCGAAAACCCCCCCGCCCCGCACCCCCCTCAGAGGACCCGGGTTAGAACCCCCCTAGTATTCCTACTATTAGTGACTAAAAATTCAAAAACATGCACAAATAAAGCTTATTTATTTATTTTAATAATTTCATTTCCTAGACCCAATGGATCAGATTGGAAGCCACAGAATAGGTCGCGCATATGCAGTGACCATTTTATTGGAAATAAAAAGTCAGAAGACCCTCGTAGTCCCAGCTACAATCCCACTATTTTCCCAAGTATTTATAAAAAAAAATATACTTCAGACAATGTTGCTCTTGGGCGATATCAACGTTTTTTAAAAGATCATCTAAAGAGTTTGATAAAGAAGATTTGATTAAAAAGAAGAAAAATATTGAATTTAAAAAGGAAGAAGATTGTAATCTTTTAATTCAGCAAGATTCTTTAGAAGAAAATGAAAATAATATTCTTGGATCTCGGACACTTGATCAAGAATGTCAAGTACAAATTATGTGTGAAAAATTAGACTCTGAAAGATCAAGCATGCGTGTATTTATATGCAATCGATATATTTATAATGATAGTACAAAGTGTTCTGTAGAAACACAAACATGTTGCCCAGAAGAGCCAAAAATAATATACAATAGAAAAAAAATGGCTGAAAAAAGTTGTGGAAATCAAGTTTCATATGTAGATAAATGTGTTGGAACATCTGGTTTATTAAAATGTGAAAATGGTTTTCATGGTCTAAAAAGTATAAAAACTGATAGAGAAATGCTTGATTTGGCTGGAGTGACGTTAGCAAATTTTTCATTATTGTTAAAAATTATTATTGCAAATGAACAATATAATTATAAAAAAATTAATGAAGAAAATAGATTGCTTATATTTTTGTTTAAAATGAAATGTGGATTAAGTTTTTCAGCCTTAAGTGTGCTATTTAATATAAATAGAACAACAGTAACAAGAATATTTTATTCTGTGCTTCAGCATTTGAGCAGTGCTTGTCAAAATTTTATTACATGGCCTAGTCGACACATCGTAGATGAAACTATGCCCAAATGTTTCAAAGAAAATTATTCTAAATGTAGAGTTATTATTGACTGCACAGAGTTTTTGGTTGAGACACCTTCTTCTATTGAACATCGAGTGTTCTTTTACTCTCAATATAAAAAAGGATACAGATTAAAAATTTTAGTTGGTTGTACTCCATCAGGATTTATTTCTTTTAGATCAAAATGTTTTGGTGGACGTGCAACAGATTCACAAATAACAATAGAATCTGGAATATTAAATTTACTTGAAGAAAATGATCAAATTCTTGCTGACAAAGGATTTCCTCAAGTTAAAAACAAATTGGATGACGAAGGAAAAATGTTTTACTAGTTATGCCTCCTTTTTTGAAGAATGGAACTTTCTCAGAAGAGGAAGTAGAAGAAACTTATAGAGTAGCTAGTATACGTATTCACATAGAGCGTATAATGCAACGTCTTCGAACCTATCATATTTTAAATAAATTCACCCTAAATATGCTACCATATTGTGACGACATCATTACCATGTGTTGTGTGTTGGTGAATCTGCAACCGCCAATCATAGCAGATCAGGATAACAATTAAATCTCATTAATAAATAATAATAGTAAATTCTTATTAAATTTTATTATATATATTTTGTTTTATGTGTTAGATTATAATTTATGCATTATATAAATATTAAAATATGAACAAAATTATAACTTAATAATAATTTTTCTCTTACAATTTAAAAAATTTAATATATAAAATTATTTAGTATTAATATTTTTACTTTAGATTAAAAAATGTAACAATATCAACGCTATTTAAAATTTATAACTTTTAAAAAACAATATTGCTTTAAATAATTTAAACAACAAAAACTTATTATAAATTATTAGTTATGTAAGAATTATATAATGCATTTAAATAATATTGAAAATAAAATTTTGTATTTTAGGAACCACTTGTTGCAAGAATATTTCATCTCTTAAAACTGTTCCTAAACAGCTATCCTTTCTAGACCATACATATAAATGACACATATGCAGTCCTGTTACATACATTTGAATCTGACATTGAGTATAATACGAATGAGAAGCTTTCAGTTTTATCTCATTATTTTCATTAAAGTATAAATAAGATACATTAAATGTATTTTTTGTTGCATCAAAAATTGGTTTATAACTACAAGATGAAGGACATTTTATTTCTAAAATTTTTAAATCATTCGTATCAATTACAATGCCATCAACACTCGCACAAAGCCATGGTTGAAGTGGATTTACAAATAAACCTAATATTTGAACATTTTTATTGTATTTATTAATATAATCACATATAGCTTTTTTTTCATTTTTCTTTCCATATTCTAAAGACGCTATTTTCAAATTTTTAGGTTTCAAAAGCTCAATTGCTAGTTCATTTTTATCTTTTTTTTATTACATTTTATACTATGTGCTTTAGTCGCACTTATTCTTGCACATCTTGCATCAAACCATTCTTTGCATTCACTTTGATCTTTGGTTCTTATGCACAAATGTAATAATTGATCATTTGTAAGTCTCACATTTATATTATAAAAGTCGTCTAACTTAACATCCATCACAATGTTTGTTGTACCATAAATTATATTATGTTTAGTTAAATATATTAATTTAAAAATTGTTTCTTTCATTTGATTAACATTAAAACTTTTTATAACATTGTCTAAAATAACTATTATAATTTGTTTTACAATACTTTCAGTTTCTGTTATATTACTTGCCTGTAAAATTCTTAATAACGCACAATCGCTTTTCACATCTGATATCTAAAGATTAAAAGGAATTATTACTTTATTCTTGTAATATAGCTTTTTCTTGAATTCTCTGGAAACTATTAGTGGCTTGGAGTACATTTCTTTACCAAGTTGATAATCTGAAGGCTTTCCCCATTCTTGATGTATAGATGTTTTTGTTGCACTCCTATCAGAATTTACATACCATATTAAAGCATAAATATGTTTGCATTTCTTTCCTGCATTTGACACACAATTACAAGAAACAAGAAGCACATGACGATTGTTATCCAACTAAAAAACATTTAATCAGTTATAAAAAATATAAATTAAATTATTAAATATCAATCATGTCAATATTTACCTCTAAACTAACTTTGTAGGGGTGTAAAGTGACAGAAGTTTGACGTATGACACTACCTGTTATCAAAATACCATCATGTCATTTGTATATTTTTCTTCTACTCTTTGAACATGAGATATAGCTAATTTTTTCCCTTTTACGATAGTTTGAGGATGAAAATCAATTGAATGAGTAATTCCTTTAAATCCTGTTCTCAAAATTATATTCATTTTGAACAATTTATCAGTCTAAGAAGAAAATAAAAAAATTGTTATTGGTTAAGATAATATTTTTCTCAGTTTACAGAGGTTAATATTTAATATATTTTATGAAATAAAAATCATATAGTATTAATAATTAGATTATTATAGTAGTTAAAAGAATTAAAGTAATTAGTAAAATTATATAGTACTTACAATATTTGGATTGTATATGTAATTATTATAGTATATTGAAAACTTTTATTTTAATTCTCCTTATATATTTCATAAATTGTTTCAGTCTAAGTATTATATTTTACCGTTAGTCGGCGCCACATGTAATCATGCACAAAGCGAATACGACGTCAACACTAAATCAGCGTTAGGTAAGTTTGTATATTATAATTCTGTTTACATAAATGCGTACTTGTATAGGTTATTAATAAAAAATAAAAATTAAATAAATATTTACATTTTCTAACGATGCAACTTTCTTATAGGAACTGTGCACTCAGGATTAGGGTATACATCTGTTAACAAGTATCTGCAATGTTTGAATATACCAAACATGTGTTCGACCTCGTACAAACGACATGAGAGAGAGAGATCGGACCTATAATCGAATTAGTTGCAAAACAAAGCTGTCAGGAAGCCACAGAATTGGAACGATCTTTAACAATAAAAATGCAGCATTTCTAGAAAAAGTTTTGTAAGTCTTGGCGTTTCAGGATTTTAAATTGCACAAATCAATAATTATTGTATACCTAAGACTTTTTCATACTGAAATCTAGTTTTTTCATATTTACTTTTTATTTTATCTTTACATTCTTTTAATAATGAATTTCATAATTACATGCTTATAGAATATAAATAAATATATAAATGATGTAAATAAGTAGGTAAAAAAAGGCGACCAGTTAAGGGGCACGCCATTAACAAAAATTATCTATTGCAAACCCATGTACAATAGAATTGTATGAAAAATTATCGATTATAAACCCATGTACAATCGTAACAAAAGTAATGAAATAAAAAAAAAATTGCGCCAAGTGAAAGTAGAAACTTGTACCAGTGGAAAATTAAAGTTGCAGACATATATAGAGTCGTATAATGAATCAATAAAATTTAAATTTGCAAATGTAGAATTGTATCATAAAAAAACTTATCTTTTAAAAAAAAGATAAACAAGATGCCAAGTCCATGCGCCATGTGAAAAATGTTAACAAAAAAGTATTTTTAAGTAAAAAAATCTATCAATTGACAAAATTTATGTTCTAAAATTAATATCTCTACAAAAAGTAATGTCCAATTATTGCGCGAATAAATAAACATTTTTATAAAAATTAAAATTTAAAAACTTATGCAAATTTAAAATTAATATAAAATAAAAAGAAATAAAAAATTTTAGTTAAAAAACTGGGCGCGCTGCAATGAGTTTAAAAGTAACAATTTAATTTTAATATCATTAGAATATTATTTAGCAGCGCGCCCAGTTTTTTTAACTAAAATTTTTTTATTTCTTTTTATTTTATATTAATTTTAAATTTGCATAAGTTTTTAAATTTTAATTTTTTATAAAAATGTTTATTTATTCGCGCAATAATTGGACATTACTTTTTGTAGAGATATTAATTTTAGAACATAAATTTTTGTCAATTGATAGATTTTTTTACTTAAAAATACTTTTTTGTTTAACACTTTTTCACATGGCGCATGGACTTGGCATCTTGTTTATCTTTTTTTTTAAAAGATAAGTTTTTTTATGGTACAATTCTACATTTGCAAATTTAAATTTTTATTGATTCATTATACGACTCTATAATGTCTGCAACTTTAATTTCCACTGGTACAAGTTTCTACTTTCACTGGCGCAATTTTTTTTTTTATTTCATTACTTTTGTTACGATTGTACATGGGTTTATAATCGATAATTTTTCATACAATTCTATTGTACATGGGTTTGCAATGGATAATTTTTTTAATGGCGTGCCCCTTAACTGGTCGCCTTTTTTACCTTTTTTTAAAGGTGAGTTTTTAGAGATTATATCATTCATTTTTGTATATGATAAGCATCTTTAAAATAAATAAGCAAATTCAATTGGCATTTTCTTATTACAGGTACATATATATCCAATAATTAATATACAAAATTAAATATTATTTATCACATATATTTGTATCAAAATAATATATTTTTAAAATTTATTTTAAATTTATTTAATCATTTTATCATTGTGATTGTAGTGGCAAGGATCTTTGCTCAGTGTCATTGTAAGCATCCTGGCCTGTATATACCATAATATATTGTGTAATACATTGCTAAGTATGACAATATGGATTTTGATAGATTCCCATGGAATATTGGAATTTTGTCGGACTTGCAGTCATCCACCATATATGCAGCCTACAATTAAGACGCATTTATTCCATATTATTTGCTTCCGTTTTTGGCATAGTGCACTTTTTATATATCTCAATGCTGTAGATAGCAAAACATTTGAAAACATCTATCTTCTATGTTATCTGCTTTTTTTGCAGCAAATTTATGGCAATGCCAGCAAATTTTATTATGTCAATATGCGTGTCTCCTGCAGTTAAAGAGGCTTAGTACTTTAATATACTCTTTTAATTGTATCATTTCCTTTTTCTTGAGA